AATTCCGACCGTCTGGTGTTTAGACCTCATAAATCATAAATGTTAGGTTTCTTGTTAGAACTTGATATAAATTATGCCCTTATTAGGGGGATTAAGGGCAGATTTTTAGTAGATTTTTATAGAAATTAGTGAAATGTGTAGTTGAAAAGTTGTGCGATTGTGCAACCTAATTAAAATTAATTGTTGACTTTGACTTAAATTAACATTAAAATTTTAATCAGTACCAAACAAGAGCTATAACTTTTGAGATTTGACAGAATTAAAGAAAAGAGACAATCTTCATAAAATTTTGTGTTTGGCTTGATATGAACTCTCGACTCAAAAGTACCAAAAAAAAAAATTTGTTCGAGAGAAAGATACTCTAACAAATACGTTTAAGAAGAGAGACATTCTTACTTGTGACCACGCCGTTATCTTCCTACTTGTTAGATTGAAGATTGAACGTACTCAACATGCCGAACGGGTTCTATTAAAATTGCGAATAAAAAATTTAATTACTCAAACATGAAGTTTATTACTAATCAAAAGCATAAGCAGCTTCACCAAAAAAAGCTCCTCAACAAGTACACATAGTAATTCACTAGTTAGTATTGTTAGATAAAACTGCATGCCCTCTCACTTTCTCTCAAAAACTTCCCTCTAATCCGACTTCTTATTACTACCATTAAATTAATGCAAAAAAAATGCATTAATTAATTATCATTAGTGCCGGATAAATTTTATTTTTTATTTTTTTAAAAGGTGCAATAATCTTTAAACCCATAAGGCACCAGCTTCTATGAGCTTTGGCTTCAATAATCTTTTGAGATGAAGACTCATAACTTCATTAGCTCCCCCAATAAATTTGCCACCGATAAACACGGCCGGGACGGTGGGGTTGTTGCCAAGCCTCGACATAGCCGCCTCGATTTCCCGGCCTCTCGGGATCTCATCCAGCTCGTAAACCGCCGGGTTTACGCCAAAATCGCAGATGAGAGACTTAATGGTGTGGCTCATGCAACAAGAACTCTTGCTGAAGATCACCACTGGCTTTTCTGACACAATATTTCTCACCCTATCCATTGATGCAACAAGGCTTGAAGGGTTTCTGATAAAACAGAAGCTGTAAGGATTGCTAGGAGAGTACTTTGGTTTTGCTGTGAGGAAAATGGAAGCTGCATGAGAACATTTATATAGAATTTTTTGTGGTGAAAGTGGCGTGGGGTGTTTTTTCTCCTACAAAGGAAATGATAACAATATATTGGAAGGAAGAATAATGTTGATGGAATTAACGTTGTTGGGGATTAAAAATAGATTTTTAGTTGATTCTGATAAAAGTTAATGAAATATGTAATTGAAGTTGTGAAATCAATAAATTATGTGGTTAAAATTTATTGTTAATTTTGACTTAAATTAAAATCTATATTTTAATCCTTATCAAATGGTGAGTGGATGTTTTTTAGATAAGATATTTTGATTTTCTTTTTTTGTTTGGTTGTAAAATTTGATGTTTGATTTGACACTGATTGATGTGTAGTACCACAAAATTTGCACGATAACGAATCTCGGCATACGGGAATTGTTATATGGAGAAAGCCACTTGTAAACATTACCATGTTGGAATGCGAAAACGAATTTAATCAAAAATTAAATTTTTTTTTAATTCAATAAGTAAGATTGTCTAGATATTCACGTGTATGTTATAACAAAATTAAAAAATTCGAATTCTACCTAAGTTCAATAATCAACCTTGAATTAACTCTGATCCGCGAACTTCTGTCTCCTTTAATTAAAAGTATCCTGGTGCTTCAAACATTCAAACCTTTTATGGTATTCTCCAACGTAAAGACTACACCGGTGTGTGGGCACCTTCTTTCAATTAATCAAGAAACTAATTCTTGAATTTTGGACAACAAGAAAATAATACGTTTTCTCTCTCTTTTTCTCTCTACAAATTTGAATCTTATGAAATTATGAATGTTGTAGTATTTTTCTGTTCTTTTTATCTCTAATTATAGAGAAAAAAAATGATACAATTCTAGTACAATTATAATTTCACATTCAAACAAGAGTTCTAATTAAAACCTAAGTAGAAGTTCTAATTTAAGTTCAATTCTAATTAGTTTACATTTAATTGTACGTGTAGTTCTAGAACTTTAATTACAAATACAATTAAGTTTATAAATTTCATAGTAATTACAGTCAAGTACAAAACTTCATTGTAATTACAATTAAGCCCAAAACTATTATAATTACCGTAATTAAGTTCCAATACTTTATGGAACTACCACGGGGACCTAATCGGATATATATTTTCCAAGCTCCAATAATTAGATCCTGTCTAGTCGACCATAGACCACCTAATCTAATTATTAGTATTTGTTTTTTTCACTAAAGGCAAAAGACTTCACTCTTGGAATATATAAGATCACAGAAACTAATAAATCTGTAATACTTTCCTCTGACATACCGTATATGTATTTTACTCCCTTTGAGATCCGATAATTAGGTATAAGCATAAATGACCGTTTCCTTCCTTTATCTCACTAACTTAAATTTCATTTTCTTCAACGATCCTATGAACAAAACACAGATGTCGAAGTTTAGCCGTCGCTAAACATTGAGCTCAGATTTTAACCGTTCAACAGAAAATACTTAAGTAGTCAATCTACCCATTTTTAGGGTGATGGTTCCCGACACGAATTCATATTCTCTACTCCGCTCATTCTCAAGTTCCCAACTCATCAAGATATTTGACCAATCAAATTGATCACGCACATTGATGAATTAAAGTACAATTAAAATCGTGGAAAGATATACATAATCCTGTCAAAGGATTCAGATGAAATATACAGCGGTCAAGTAGAATTTAATTCTCCGTACGATCATACTATAGAATTAAATTCGACACGTGATCCGTTCAATACACTCCAAATGCACTAGTGTCATATTTAACTATTTTTGTGATAAGGACAAATCACAAACACAAACCGTGAATTGATCAACACTACAACCTTCCAATATAAGGTGTCAATCCTTATATATTTATTTATAATCAAAATACAAGTTGTTTCACACCGTACTTTTCAACGCAAGTACCCAACTCATAATATCACAAGTGATCATAGGCATTTTAATTCTGCATACTCAATAATTAATAAATGCAATAAATAAAGTAAACATAATTTTATTCAATATAAAAAATTATTGTTATTTTTATACTAGATGGGCATACAACCCAACAATACATTCTCCTTACGTGTTCAGGGGGTACACATGAATAAAATAATTGTGGGTACCTCATTGTGAGGGGCTGTACCGAGCAAAATTGTTGTTACATAAGCGTCCTTTGAAGGGCTTCGATTTAATCTATGATTAAAGTGATTATAAGATAAAATAATTATTTAGATAAGTGAATTTAATCTACAATTATTTATAAACGGTTAAATATACATAGATTAAAACGAATGTTTGATAAATAAATAGTACTTTTGAATTTCGTGTAGTATGTGAACAAAAAACAATTTGGCTGATTATAAACCATTTATAAATTTTTCCAAACAAGGGCTTAATCTTTTGCTCCTATTGAGTTGTATTTAACGTGATTTTGAGCCACCAATAAGTTTATTAGTTTGTTAATCCAAAGAAGAAAACAAAGTTGGCTTACCTAAGACCATTTTCCTCAAAAACTTAACTAGGTGTTTTGTCTTAAAGGCTATATAATGTGACCCTTCGAAGAGGATAATAGTTCAAATTGCGACTGTCGACTTTCTTAAGGCGATTGTTTCCCAAAAATTAATTTGATCGATTGTTAATTGACTGGTTGTAGATTCAAATCTATTGAAAAGGAAGTTTGATCGCTTTTTAAACACCTTCTTCAATTTTGATTTTTTTTAACCATATTTTGGATAATTTAAGATAATTAAGAAGATTAAAATGTGATCCATGTAACTTAATTTGTGACGTATCTGTCTAGGAAGAATATTTTGAGTTGGAGAAGAAGTTGGATTTATCCAATTGGGACATCCTTCTTTTTCCATGTTAAGATTCGTGGCATCTAGTTCGAAAAAGAAAATAGAAAGCCACAAACAAGAATAGGATAGAATTTCGTAATCAAATGGCTAAGACGTGATAATACTTCTAATATTACAAAATCGTCTATATGTTTTATAGTCAATTCAAGACTTGGATAAAGGAGAATTTTTGTAATAATTGACTACTAATATGAAACATTGTCATGTCTTAAGATCAAGGACATTTAATTGGATTAATTGGGTTTTTTTTTTTTTTTGCTGTTAAATTATGGAGCTTAATTATTGTCATTGTACGAAATCAATATGCATTTAATTTCAATTTTATCCTAATTTATCTTATAAATAGAAAGCCGTCATTAAAGTTTTGTGTTATCATCATAAAATAGAGATGTTAGAAAATATATGATTTGCAATTTACTCTTGTAAACTTCTTTTCATCATAACAAATTAATATAGTGACAAAAGATGACATATAAATCTTACATGTTCCGCGAATTGATTTCTATCCATGAAATATATGATCTGTTCGGTAGTGATTATAAAAATTGATTTCTTGACTATTAGAGAGAAAATGAGTTCTATTTGTGAGAGAAGAAGTAAAAAATAACAGCTGAAATAGTGAAATAACGGTTAAAAAATTAATTTTTTGGAATAGTTATTAATTATGATTTTTAATTTTCAACATTTGTTTCGTCATATCATTATATATTGACAAGTTAGACACAACATCATTTATAAATATTTTTCTCTTAATTAATTAGATGGTCAAGTATTTTTTTCATTTCCTAAAGAAAAAGTTAACGTCATTTTAAGTGCTTACGTTTGAAGAATTTTTCAAATGTCATATATTAATGAGGTCCCCTTTCTAACGTTATCCTATTCGGCGTTTGCTGTCACATATAATTGAGGGACGTGCGGGTTAAAATTAATAACTAATAGTGAGAGAGACGTGAGTTAAAGTTAAAATAATTTACTAAAATCATAAAAATATTTTATTATAGATATATTAACCTATAAATAATCACTAGTTATATACGCTTTCATAATAATATCAGTTCAAAAAATTTTGAGAAATTGAGTTCTTGTATAATTCTCATTATTTCAATATATATATATATATTAGTTATATACGCTTTCATAATAATATCAGTTCAAAAAATTTTGAGAAATTGAGTTCTTGTATAATTCTCATTATTTCAATATATATATATATATTAGTTATATACGCTTTCATAATAATATCAGTTCAAAAAATTTTGAGAAATTGAGTTCTTGTATAATTCTCATTATTTCAATATATATATATATATTAGTTATATACGCTTTCATAATAATATCAGTTCAAAAAATTTTGAGAAATTGAGTTCTTGTATAATTCTCATTATTTCAATATATATATATATATATATATATATATATATATTTTTTTTTTTTTAACCACACAATTTTCAATAAAATAATATTACATTCAAATCTAAAAATTTTCTGTATTTTTTAACCGCACATTCCTCATCAATCTATTATTTCAAAATGTATTTTATTTGAAAAACGGGAATCAAACAGGCCAAATAACGTACAGGGAATCACATTCTCCCACACATTAGAATCACACACTATTGGTGCTTCCCTTCTAAAATGGTGATGTGATGATGTAGATTTTACTATGGTAAAGCAAGCAAAAAAAACTGATGATATAGTTCCTTCTTTTCTCTATTTGACTTTTCATTATGGATTAAATGGTGAGAGAGGGGAAATGGCGAAAAGGAATTTGGGATTAACTTCTCATTCTTCACTATAATCATTTGGATTTTGGGTTGCTTATTGTCTTGTTAGGTTGGTAATTGATTAATGAAGCTAATTGGACATATGAGATTGAGCAAGTAAAATAGATTATTTAAAATATATTTCTTTTTGAAAGTAAGATAGTTTAAGATTAAAAAATAAATAAATTTTATTTTCAATAATATGTTAAATTAAAAAAATATTCGTATTATAGTTTTTTTTTTTACTCTTCTTTTCATAAATATTGTGCCATTTAACTTAACATAATAAAAATAATTTTAAGTTTTAAAATTAATAAGATATTTTAAACATATAATTATACATATATGTATATAGTAATAAATAAATAAATTTGGTGCCCCTTTAATGTTGAGACCTTGTGCGGT